AATTAGATGTATCAATTACCCAAAAGAGGGTAAAAACAATGCATTTGTATAGCTAACAGTGGCCTCCAAAGTAAATGCTGATTTTTGCCTCAGGTAGAACTTAAGCAACAGAATTATGTTTCCAGCTACGTTGACTGCCAAAATTGATCATTAGCAGAGCAAACAGACTCCAGAAAGGTCTGCGTCTTCTGGGGGATGCTAAATGTACAAATAAGGAGCTTTTATTAGGTCAGCACTATTATTTTGTTTTCAAATGATTTCCTATTCCTAGAGATTTACATTCAGTTATTTGAACTCTGTGTAATTAAGAGAGATATTTAACTGAGCTTAAGGTTACTTAAAGTAACCAAGCTCCTTTAGTCTCATCGATCTCAGGCTTCAATACCCTCCCACTCGTGTCCATTCTTCCTGGTGTAGAACTTCCTTTGAGGGAAAGGATGAAAACAAATTTAGATTCAGGGCCCCTTCCCCCATGAATGGTCTGCCTCATTTGTCTTTTTCTCCTTGATTCTCCTTTATCATTTTTCCAAGCATCAGTCCACTAGGCCTGTATCGGGCCAGTAAGCCTCGTCTAGCTCATTCCAGCGTTTTGTGCCGTGTTTATATCTGCACTGCATCAAGATTTTTCTTCCATCATCTTCTTCTACTCACACTTCTTCCCTGGCAACCATACCTTCACATACCCTACAAAGTAGAGACTTCTTTCCCAACAGATTTCCCTGTAGTCATAACAAAACCTATCTTGCCAAAAGACCACGCAGCTAAAAACTTGTACCAGACAATACACCTGACTCCCCAAAGCTGCTTTTTGGCAGCTGATAGAGACACTGATCGTTCATATCCACAGAAATCATGATGCCTGCGGATGATCCGAGACTTCTCTCCCCAAGTGTTGTGTATGATCCCAAATAAGGGGTTTCATCTGGATAGCCACATGAAGGAGGTGTCTGGAGGAGTGCGGAGAGAAGCACCAGACATTCAGAATGTTCTATGTTGCTCTACCTCATTTTCTGGAATCTCTGTAATGTTTGACTTTTAGGTCTTAGCTTTAAAAAAAAAAAAATGAAATAAAGAATAAGCTTTGACTGACGATGCTAAAACTACTTTAAATGTGTTCTAAGACGGTGCTTTAAAATTTCCCCCACAACACTGTTGACCTATGTGAGATGCAGGTACTTTAAGAAATGTCTCTGGAAGACTGTATCTGAGGCAGTTTATGAGCTGAAGCCAAGGCTGAAGCATTGCTAAGGGAATCTGTTTCCCTGGGATACTAATTAACTCCAAATATTGCATATAAATTAAGCCAGCAGCTACTGAAAGAAGCAACTTACAGGAGAGGAAAATCTGAATGGCTTTAAAAGAAAAGTACTGGGGCACCTGGGTGGCTCAGTGGGTTAAAGCCTCTGCCTTCAGCTCAGGTCATGATCCCAGGGTCCTGGGATCGAGCCTCGCATCGCGCTCTCTGCTCAGCGGGGAGCCTGCTTCCTCCTCTCTCTCTCTCTGCCTGCCTCTCTGCCTGGTTGTGATCTCTGTCTGTCAAATACATAAATAAAATCTTAAAAAAAAAAAAAAAAGTACTACCTTCTGATTAGAGAAAAAGGCATCAGGGACACGGGAAGAACCCTTTTCCTTCTGACCCAGCCCTCTATTTTCTTTCTAGAACCTTCTACCCTTTACTCTTTCCTTTTGTTTTCCTTTCTCCACATTGGCAGGTGTGATTTATTGGATCACTGACTAGGGAAAGGGTTTCTTCCCCAAGGGGACCTGTTCTCTCTTGTCTCTTTAATAAGGAAGTTGTTCTCTAGATAGGTGCCCTCCCGGGTCTACTCTCTAACTCTTCGGTATAAGAATCCCAAACTCCTCCCTGGAGATTCTGACTCTAGGGCAGGGCCTTGGAATCTGGTGTTGCCCAATTATGGCTCTTAGGAGCCAAAGTCTGGGAAACACTGCCTCCCCCTCTAAGAATAAGACACAGTCCCTGCCCCTGCACTGGGGCATGTGCAGGTGTGAGGGGGTAAAAACGGTTCAGAAGGGAAGTTGTTAGCCACTGAAGCCTGCAGCTTACAGCACCCCTGCCGGACAGCTTTCCTTGTTTTGCTGCTAAATGACTTAAGCTTAGTTGTTAGAATCAAGAGTTGCCTTTTTTATTTTCAATGTGCAAATAGAAGGAGATAAATCACTTATTTTAGGTAAACCTACTGCTGCCTGACTTCCTACTTTTAATTGGACTACAGTATAACCACTCACTAGCCAGCACCTTCTCGGGGGGCAACACCCCTAATCTTAGGTTTTGTTTTGAACATGATGACCTTTTCTGATCCTCTCAATAACTTCAGCCAAGTTCATCCAAGGCAGGGAGGAAAACAGCCAAAATAAACACATCCATGGGACCTCCACCAACCCAGGTGTTGATATGGGTTTGTACAGAAATCCGCTGTGATCTAAGTCATCTCCTTTTCTTGTAACAGTCACCTGTCCCAAAAAAGGACTACATAGACATTTCTGTTGAGGCCTAAAGGCACACGCATGTTATCCCCATAGCCTTCTGGAATAAATGAAAATAGTGTCCATTATTTGTGGCTTTATCCCTCTACAGTTTGAAAGTTCAACCGCTTAGGCATGATCTAGTTAAAACTACAGACTATGAGTTGCCCAAGGCATTAATAGCCACCAGCATTGCCCATTGCCCATGTGTTATTGAATTAAATGTGGGTTTGCTATAAATAGCTTGTCGAGAATACAGAAACAGTAACACCACGTCATGCCCACCTCCCCTAACCTTAGGAACAATTACAGCAAGGGGCTGCTCTAAGAAAAGGCAAACATACCCTATGCAATAGCAGAATGTCTCTGCTCATGAAATTAGAAATTACTTCTGAGTATCATGGTCCTGAATTTTATTTTTCAAACTTGACCTTGAGCTTATTTATCAATTGTTACTTCCATTTGATTGTACAGAGCCTCTCACTTCTCTTGACCAATTTCACACATTTGCTTACATCTCTTAGCAAAAAAAAAAAAAATTAATTGATGAAAACATTCTTGTAAGCCAGCTATCATTCAAGAATGGATTCCAGAAAGGTTTCTCTATTAGTTCTCTAGAGGTGATACTTAAATTTATATGGCTGCGAAGGAAATCGTGAGGTAGGAGAGGCAAGGACTCGTGTACAAGGGACGTTAGTCAGGCGTCATTCATTTAACAAAGACAGAAATTCATGTGAAATGGTCCTTGGCCAACCAACTACAGCTGACTCTTGAACAACACAGGGGTTCAGGGTGTCAAACCCCTGCACAGCTGAAAATCCACATATAAAATTTGACTCCCCAAAAACTCTACTAAGAGCCTACCATTGACCAGAAGCCTTACTGGTAAAATAAACAGCCAATGAACATATACCTCATATGTAATGTGTTTTATATACTGTGTTCTTATAATCAGTCAGCTAGAGAAAAGAAGATGCTAAGAAAATCACAAGGAAGAGAAAACCCGTTTACAGTACTGTACTGTCTTGAAAAAAATCCACACAGGAGTGGACCCATGCAGCACAGTCCCATGTTGTTCAAGGGTCTTCTGTATTTCCTTAGAATCTTGGTTTTAAAGGACTCTGAAATGTCAGTGCTTCCTGAAAAGTACGGGGAAGGGCACTGAATTGATGATAGGGAAACACGGTTTCGAGTCCAAGGGGGTTCTTGTTCTGAATGATCCTAGGGATACTTTTGGATAATCATTTCCCTTCTCTCCTTCAGTTCTGTCTCCAGTTAAATGGAAGAAAAAAATATATATATGTCCTACCCCATACAGTAGCTCTGAGGAATGACTGTGCAGCTCGCCTCCAATACAGTAGATCAGGTTCCAAGGGATGTGAACGAGTTCTCCATGTGTCAAGCGCTAAGGACAGGGTTACCAGGAACCTTTAGTCTTCTATGAAATGAGCCAAGTCTTTACCTAAAAGTTCAACTCAAATACCAATATTCAAAAGATAGGGCAAGGACTTTCATTCCAAAAGAAATGAGAAATTATCTAGCGTAGGCCAAAATCCCCAAAAACGGGATGCCCTGAGAAAGGCTGGGACTCTGACCACTGAGGCCGCATATACCACAGAACGCCCATCTTCCCATTAAAGCCAACTAAGAACCAATGGTGGCTCCATCATTCCATGGCCAAGACCCCAGAAGTAGCAAAGCAAGGCTCTGAATAATTCACAATAGTGAATGGTAGACAGGAATGCTCTGAGAGCTTACCTACCTCATTTTTTTCTTGATTTCTTACTTATTTCTTCTTGCAAAGTCAAATGATACACAAAAAGAACACCTCTTAGTGATAAACATGTAAGCATCTATTGATACGTCTGTCAGAGTCAATTACACTATCAAGAAAGCAAGTTTACATTAAGACCGAAAGTCCATTTAATGTGTTATTTCTGGTGCATTTTTTTCCTGCCGTGAATGAGAATAAGATAGAAGATGCAAAATAATAAAACTGGGAGACCGGAGCATAGAATACAAGATAGATACAAATCTACACATAACCCTAATGCACCGAGAGATCTTCTGGACAAAGAAGGTTTCGTTCCAACTTGCTGCTTGTTTTGATGCAAATGTAGGATGTACCGTGGCCCAGAAGCCTAGAGCCTCCAGTGGGCCCAACGCAGTCATCATAAGCTATTCTCTGTTAGGATTTCGATTTCAGAGTCAACGTATGTCTTGGCAGCAAGAATCATTATGCCTGGTGCAGGTAAACCAAGGCAAAGGCCCTTTGGAAAAATACAAAATATTTACCTAGCAACTCCTAGTGAACCACATGTGTGCTGCATACTGATGAGTGGTAGCCGATGGTTCTGGAAAATTCACTACGGAAGAAAAACAAACACGGCCCTATACAGTAAGGCTACAGCATTATGCCTTTGCAGCTCGGGACAAGAGAAATCTACTACTGCCCGGCAGAGAACGAGCCCGGTGGCCTGACAGCCGTGATGTGGCAGGCTGCCTTTCTTCTTTTGTCCCCCAAATAAACAATAAAATAATAAGACAAGTGAATATCCCAGGAAAACTCCCGTCTGATTCAAAACTCATCTTCAGAGCTGTCGGCTAAGAGCATGACTCGGTCTTGCATGCTGTTGAATTCTCTCTGCTGGGGAAAGAGAAACAGAGGAGCGTTAAGCCCTTTCTGCTGCAGAGCAAAACTGAAAAACAGGCCCCTTGAAAAGGCAGCCCACCACAGGCAGCGGCAGCGGCTGCTAAGGCAAACCACTGGGCATTTACCGTTCCTGCCTCATTAAACCCCGTGTGCTTTATTAAGCAAATCAGCAAAGCAATGCCTGTTCTGAAACGGCTGAGGTTTTGCTGTTGTGGTCTCCATACCTTTCTTTTATGCCTTTTGAAGCCGTTTCTCCTTCGGCGATTCATAACCTTAATGCTGTAGAGAGCTCCTAAGATGAACAGGGCGCCGGCTATCCCGACCCCGACAGGAACCAGCATCCCAGACATGTAGCCAGCCTGCACGGAAAAGGAGGCGTCCATTAGGAGGCTACATTGACCACAGCCCAGGGTTTCTCCTTTCTGCCAGATGGCAGCAGGCTTTTAAATACCTGGAATTCTCCTACTTGCTTTGTCATAAACTAGCACCTAGAATAAAGGGAGAAGGCAAGAGAGAGAACAGTAGGACTATTTGGGGAAAGTTCAAGTATTTAGAAGAAGTACTGAAATTAATCACCCGGACCTCGTGGCACCTAGAGCTGCTTGCTTATGCACATTTGTCAACATCAGGTTTTGGTGGCAGAAGAATAATTTGTATCAAAGATGGATGAAGTAAGCTTCTGAGAATGCCAAGACTATTAAAATGCTCACAATCTCAGCTGCCTTACAGTAAGAAAGGGAAGAGGAAGGATGCTTGGTGTTGGGGGCACAGGCAGAAAAGACAAGGAGGGGAGAGGATATACACATAAGGTGGGATTTATAGGAAAGGAGAAATCTGCCCAGTGGACAAGACCAAAGTTGGGGCTTGGGAGGGAATTCTGAGCATCCCCAGCCCCCAAAGGAAAGAAGTAGCAGAGTAAAGGGCAAAGATCACTACCAGCAACAGTGGCACTTCCAAAAGAACCTGGAGGTGTGGTATCTGGTGTGTCTCCAATGTCCCCAAGGTGTCTCTATGGATACGTTGGCTCTAAGTGAGCACCATGATGTCCACACATCCCTCGGCTTAGGTAAGTAGCTCCAGATCTTCCCAAGCTCAGGGGAAGGCCATCATCCTAAAGGTGCTCCCTGCATCTTGGCCAATATGACACCTCGGGGCCACAGCATCATGTACTTACCTGGAGCCCTTTCACGGAGGAACATGACACTGGTTTGCCCTTGAAGAAGGCCCCTGCTAGAAGCCTACCCAGACAAAATACATCAAAAATTAAAATTTTTAAATAAAATCTTAAAAAAAAAAAAAAAAGGGGGGTGCCTGGGTGGCTCAGTGGGTTAAGCCGCTGCCTTCGGCTCAGGTCATGATCCCAGGTCCTGGGTTCGAGCCCCGCATCAGGCTTTCTGCTCAGCAGGGAGCCTGCTTCCTCCTCTCTCTCTGCCTGCCTCTCTGCCTACTTGTGATTTCTCTCTGTCAAATAAATAAATAAAATCTTTAAAAAAAAATTAAAATTTTTAGGTTTTAGAGGGTCATTATGCAGGGGTGGGGAGGAGCCCACAAGTCTGTTCATTTGTTTGACTATTTCTAAAATTTCTAATATAGGACAAACTATTTCAAGTACCTTTCAGAATGAGCCAAAATCTGAGAGGGACATAGAATAAAGTTTTTTAAAAAAGTGCTGAAGTGTGCAGACTGTGATGCTTTCCCAGCGTTTCCAAGACTAAATCAGAGGATTACACGAGCCCTTCTACAATTGTAGCTCCCCCTCCGTGCACACAGCCAGCTCACTCACTGGGTTCTGTTTTCCAGAGTCTTGTGTTAGGGCAGAACACGGAAATTTTTCCATTAATTTGAGAACAATAGCATTGTTCATCAGCATACTAAGTGTTTTTCTCCAAGAAACAAAGCCCAGTCACTTTTCAACAAATTAATATGCTTTGCAGAAACCTAAACTTTTTCTGAAGTTCTTCCAGATCTACTTAAGGGCTTATAAAACTGTAATTTTCCATGTGGGAAAATACTGGACAAGAGCAAAGTCTTGGTACTCTCATAAGAGCTGTGAATATATTGCTTTAAAACCACCATTCCCAATACATGGAAACAATGTACGTATTGAAATATGATCAGATTTAAGCCCCGGAGATTAGACTCGAAAGAGGTGTACATCAGAGGATGATAACTTGAGCTGTCGGAAGTTTGGCTTGATCAATCTCTGTGTGGGTCTCCTTGTGCTGTGTAACTTCAACCCACACCCAAGAGCATGACTATTCCAACATGCTTCACTCTTTCTCATACTTCTTATTTACACATTTAGATTTCTAGTTTCTAGAGCTTTAATTGGGAGATGGAGAGGAGAAGTGAGTTGGGGGAAATTGGAGGGGGAGACAAACCATGAGAGACTGTGGACTCTGAGAAACAAACTGAGAGTTTCGGAGGGGAGGTGGGTTGGGGGTGGGTGAGCCTGGTGGTGGATATTAAGGAGGGCACGTATTGCATGAAGCACTGGGTGAGGTGCATAAACAATGAATTATGGATTACTAAAAAAATTTAAATTAAATTAAATTTTTTAAAAAATCATGCAGATTTCCCCAAAATTCAATTAATCTCTCTCTCCCCTCTTTTGTCCCCTCCTGTGTGGTATGTGTGTGTGTGTGTGTGTGTGTGTGTGTGTGTGTGCGCTGCCTATGTTTGAAATTATAGTTAAAAGATGTGATCCAAAAAAATAAAAATAAAAAATAAAAGATGCAATCCAAGTAACCTCTCTTCTTCCAATATATTTTAACCATTCTTCTTTCAACACTAATGGAGAATAGGCTCTTCTTTTAGAATTGGCCATGACTTGGAGCACCTAGGTGGCTTAATCAGTTAAGTGTCTACCTTCAGCTCAGGTCATGATCCCAGCATCCTGGGATCAAGACCCAAGTCCGGCTCCCAGCTGAGTGGGGAGTCTCCTTGTTCCTCTACCCCTCACCTCCCCCAACTCAGGCTCATGTGCTCTCTCTCATAAATAAATTAAATATTTTTAAAAAAAAAAGAATTTCCCAAGACTTGTTTCCTACACAGATGAAAACAAATAAGACCCATGAACATATTTTCTAAGTTATAAACCCTATCTAGTGCCTCTTCTCTGGTCAGAATCATTGGACGTTCAAGTACCTGCCCAGATAACAGCCTGAGAAGGACATAGCTGCGCCTGTGTATACGCCGAGTGAGAATGCATAACTTGAGTCTCATCATGAGGAAACACACAATAAACCTAAAATGAAGACTATTCTATTTTTTTAAAGGACTATATTTTTTTGAAAGTCAGTGTCATGAAAGACAAAAGATGGCTATAAAAATGTTCAAGAGCATAGGAAAATAACGAATCATGACAACTAAATGTGTTACATGACCCTAGACTAGATCCTATACTGGAGAAGAAAAATGCTTTTAGAAAGGTATTTTGAGTTTGTTGAAAAAAACTGAAATATGGATGCCAGATTTGATAAAAAGTACTGTATCAATGTTAAATGCACTCAAGCTGGAAACTGTACCATGTCTGCTAACAGAATATTCCCATTTGTAGGAAATACACACTAAAGCATTTGAAGTAAAAGCACCATGGTATATGCAACTTATTCTCAAATAGTTCAGAATTAAAAAAAAAAAAAAAAAAAAAAAAAAAGGAGGCAGAGATGGGCAGACAGACCAGCAAATGATAAACAAAATGGGGTAAAATATTACAAACAAGTACATCTGGGTAAAAAGTATGGGGCATTCTTTGTACCTATTCTTATATCTTTTTTTTTTTATAAAACTGAAAATAGTTCCAAATAAAAAAGTTTTGCATTTTTAAAGTAGATTGTAAGTCAAAATATGACTAGATATAGTTAATTTTTGTTTGTGTTAGTGTTGGGTTTTTGTTGGCTTTGTATTACATTCATGAGAAAGGTATCCTTCTTTCTTAGGATAATGTATTGGTTCAAAAACATCTGTTTTCAAGAAAAGTATAAGAAAACCTAACAATATGCTGTACTGTCTAAAGTCTGCTGAGTTAGGACAATGCCCTTACATTGCTTTGCAACAGTGGCTCTCAGACTTGAGCATCTATGAAAATTGCCAGCAAGACTTGTTGAAACAGACTGCTGGGCCCCGTCCCAGAGTTTTTGACTCAGTAGGTATAGGGTGGGGCCCAAGAATTGCATTTCTAGCAAGTTCCCAGGTGATGCTGATGCTGCTGGTCCAGACCACACTTGAGAATCAGCATTATGCAATATAGTCTGGATCATCCATTTTCTGGGTTATTTCCTAAAACTAGAAGAAACAGAATGATCTTGGTGACAAAACAACAGGGTTGGTCTTTATGACCCAACTAAAGTTGCTATGCCTCTCAATTTTGAGAAGCATTTTAGATGTTGAAAAGACATACCATTAGGTAGCCAAGTTAGGATTTGCCTAACAAGCATGACTAACTTGGACATTAAGACGGAAAGAAGAGTAATGATGGAATGAGTACAGGGACTGACCCTCAGAGGCCATTCACCTCTTCTCCCAGAGCAAGAACCTCCCATTTCGGCTGGGCTCGGAGTAACAATCACTGCTCCCTGACTTTTGTGCAGCTGTATGTGACCGTGTGATCTATTGCACTCAGAAGAGAATACATTAGTGGCAGGTACGGCTTCCCAACATGCTCTTCAAGAGGGGAGCACAGCCTTCATCCCCCATGTTTTGAGAATGAGAGTGCCTTTATCTTCCCTTTTAAGAGGGAACAGGTGTCTTTGCCTTCCCTTTTCCTCCATCCCCTGGCTAGAATTTGGACCTAGCTAAGTTGGAACTGCCATCCAGGACCTTTAGGTGACCTTGGGAATGAAGATGACAAATGGTGGAGCATCAAATTAAAGGAGCCTGAGCCCCTGCCACAGTGTTGCTCCCCATTAACCCTTGACTGCTACCTCCAGACTCATAAATGAGAGACAAACTTCTATCTTGGTTAGCCATTGTCATTGAGGTTCGCTGTCATTCATAGCTGATCTTAATCCTAGCTTAAACCTAGCAGAGGGAGAGGGATAAACAGACTCCCTGCTGAGCAGGGAGCTGGACATGGGGCCTTGATCCCAGGACCCTGGGATCATGATCTGAGCCAAAGGCAGATGCTTAACCGAATGAAACACCCAGGCGTCCCCAGAACTTTTTAGAACACTATTCTTTCTAGAGCCAAACTAACTTCACAGAAATACCAATATTAGGTACAACTGAATAACACTAAACTGAGAAGATGTCCTGGTTGGCCAAAGAGCCCGTTAAATAAATATTTAATTTCCAGTTCTAAGGGATTCTGTGACTTTTTCATCAAAGAGGCAATAGTTTTGCTCTCAAATAGTTACTGAAGATAATGACTAACAAGACTTTTATGGATGAGAGTCAACTAACTAGTTAGCTATGGGGGGAGGGGGTAGCACGAGAACAAGAAAGAGAGGAGGATAAATATATATGTACACATGTATGTGTGTGTACACCTATGAACGTGTGTCACAGCTAAGTGTAGAATATTTTAATCACATGGGAAGAGGGAATCTTGGAAAGATTATGGTGAATCCCTCCAAGAAAAAGTCAAAATATGAAGAAATAGGTGTCAAATAAGCCAAACACAGTATCTCTATTTTTTTAATTAAGATATACTGAAAAAAACACTCCAGAAGAGAGGGCTGGAAAATCTCAAAATAATTCAGAAAACTAAGGGTCACACATAAAATTATTTCTCTTGGTTAAAATGATAGCAAGAAGGTGCCAGGCCTTTGAGACAAGATAAGAAGGGTCTACAGAAATAGAAAATACAGCCTTTCTATAAAGCTGCACAGATTTTTTTTTTAATTGTGATAAAGCTATCTATAGATACAGGTAAGAAATTTTGCAATATCCAACTTCAAAACTGGAGACATTCAAAAATTTATTCTCTTAAGGGTTTTCTGGTGTACTTTTTTACACAGAAGATATTTTCTACAGAAACAATGATATATGGATTCCTAAATTAATCTACCAAAGCCTATTTCCTTTTCATTGCATCCTATTTTCTCCTGAAACATGACAAGAAGCACTACTAATATAAGTGTGTTCGGTTCTTAACTTTTGAGCTTTATTTCCCCCCAAATCCTGCTCAGTCCATCCAGTCATACCTCCCTTAGACAACTGGACCTGTTACAGATACCAAAACGGCCTCCAATAACCCCAACATGCTTAAAATTTTTCAGCATCCCTTTCATAAGTATGACCACAGAACAGTCTCATTCTCAAAAACCATCTATGCTAAATTTTACTGAGAAGCACAAAGAGAGTAATGCGACTTAATATAATCATACAATTTTCATTGTAATTTATTCTTTAACAATAAGCTGCAGCAAAATAAATATTAGTTATCCAAATATGGGGAGAACTGACTCTAAATAATAAAAAAGATATGGAATACCATCAACAGAAGTATATGTCGGGACTGCTGATTTAAAGGTAACTCAGTATGTGGTAGTTGAAAAGATTTACATTCACTAAACCCCCAGTTAAATCTGAGCTGAGTTATAGTAATGATATCTGACACAGGCTACAGCAAGGAATTCAGAATTCCATCAATATTTTTATGAGTAATTCCAGTTTAAAATTCTAAGGTAACTAAAAAATGTAAACTTGGAGAGTGTTGAAAATTAAAAGAAAGTGAAAAATAGGAACCTGGAAGGAAGTTAATATGGTCCATCACAGACATGGATGGCAGAATTAATGCGTGAGAGAAATATTTTTCTATAGTTGCCCATTCCAGGCAAGTTAGCCCTTTGCTACCCAGTATGTAGTAGCACTGTGAGAGACTACATAAAAGTTGATCTAAGGAGAGTGCTCAGGCACCCAGGTGTTTTTACTCTAAACCACCCCCACTATGGTTTAAGGATGCTCTTTCCATCCCAAACTTTTATTCTTAACTCAAGTCCATCGATTTTTGCCTTGGGTCAGAAGAATCAATGCCTCCCAAAATCCAAGGTATTTCTTCCTCATACAGGAGGATCAGTCTTACAAGAACCTGGCATCAGGTTATTGGGCACTGGGACAAGAAATAGCCAGAAAAACTGGGATCACACTGCTGATCCCTAGAAGAAATTCCACCTGGATATGTCAAGGAAATTTTCCAGCTGTCGTAGTAGATGATGCCTTCATAACAAGGATGGTGCTCCAAAGAATAAGGTGTCCCTTGTGTTGTACAAGAAGGAACTGAAAGGGCAGGTCTTCCTTCTTGTTGGGTACCTGGAAGTAGCCTTGTATCTTTGCACAGATTACCAGAATCAGAATGATGAATTAAGGCTCCATTACTCTGACAATCTTTTATTTGACAAAGCCATGCCCTTTAAGATAAATTCAAAGGAAGAAAATACTTCTCTTACCTTGTCTTTTAGTTTTTCCATCCAGCTTCTCACTAGGGAAAATAAGAGAATAAAACATAAATATCCATCTTTTTACTTATATTTCATTGAGTTAATTTGAGAACTTACATTTCATGGTATTAAGTTAATTTGATGCACTGATTTTATTGGATGAAATACAGTGAAAGGGTCAACAGTATTAACATGACATTAATAGTCTTATTTTTATTCTTATTTGTTTAAAAATGCAATGGAAAGCACAAACATACCTTCACATCATCATTAAATGAACAGAGAATATTTTTTTTAAAAGATTTTATTTATTTATTTGTCAGAGAGAGAGAGAGAGGGAGAGAGAGCAAGCACAGGCAGACAGAATGGCAGGCAGAGGCAGAGGGAGAAGCAGGCTCCCTGATGAGCAAGGAGCCCGATGTGGGACTCGATCCCAGGATGCTGGGATCATGACCTGAGCCGAAGGCAGCTGCTTAACCAACTGAGCCACCCAGGCGTCCCTGAACAGAGAATATTTTTATTTGTTAAACATATTTGTATTACTACTGAAGGCTTTTGGGGGGTGGGTCTGGGAAAGGAGACAGAAAATCACTTTTAAAGTATCAGCTTCATTCCCAACCCAAGCACCACCAAATAAATAAATAAACTAATCAATTAATTTACTAATTAATTATCAAGTTCATTTCTTATCTGACATTTTCTCTTTAACATTACTCATCTTTCCCAGTTTTTAAGCTCAGTGGGTATTCTGCACTCAAGTCAACATCCCAGCAAAGTAAGTACGACGGGGCGATGGGTGGGCCAGCACTGTTCGGCACTGGCTCCAAAGAGAAGCATTTGCATCCACAATTAAGAAAAAAAAAACTGACCAAATGCAAAAAGAGGAATTATTTCTGAAATACATATAGCTTGCAAACTGAACAACGCCATCACAATACAACCACTATCAAAAAAAAATAAATAAAGGCAATAATCAAGTAACAGCTTAAAAAGCCACTGAAAAGGACTACATCAACCATGAAATGTTAAGTAGACCATTATTACAACCATTTGGAAGTACATACGCCAAGAATAGAACAAATATCATTCAAAATGAAAACATGTGTTAGAAGGACCATGGGGTTTTTTTTCTTTCATTTAAATTTTAGTTAGTTAATATATAATGCAATATTGGTTTCAGGAGTAAAATTCAGTGATTCATCACTTACATACATCACCCTTGGCTCATCACAACAAGTGACCTCTTGAATACCCATCACCCATCTAGCCCATCCCCCACCCACCTCCCTCCACCAAGCCTCAGTTTGTTCTGTATCAATAAGAGTCTCTTATGGTTTGGGATGCCTGGGTGGCTCAGTCAGTTAAGTGTCCAACTCTTGATTTTGGCTCAGGCCATGGTCTCAGGGTCATTAGATCAAGCCCTGAATTGTCTCCATGCTAAGCATAGAACCTGCTTAAGATTCTCTCCTTTCCCTCTGCCCATCCCACCCTCTCGCTCTTTAAAAAAAAAAAAAAAAGAGTCCCATGGTTTGTATGGCCATATTAAGGACAGTTTGAAGTACGTAATGGGGTTCTTCATCCTTAATTGCTTTTTAAAGTCATAATAATGATTCAACATTGAATAAAAATTCTATTTTGAAAAGCATGGAAAAGGAGAAAAGAAGACAAATATTATCAAAGATTAGTAAGCCAACAAAAACCTTTCAAGATTTCCTTAAATTTCCTTTCCTCTCCAGGACTTTCAACAGATAGGAAGGAAGAACACAGAGGGGCAGACCGAGAAACAGGTCCCAAAAGGCGTAGACAAGGGATTGGCAAACTTTTCCTGTAAAAAGCCAAACAGTAAACATTTAAAGCTTTGTGGGCCATACTATCTCTGTCACAACTACTCAACTCTGCTGTGGCAGTGTGAAAGGACTCAGAGACAGTACATAAATCAATGGGTTTGGCTATATTCCAATAAATGTTACTTATGGACATTGACCTTTGAATTTCATGTAATTTTCATAGGTCACAAATACGTTTCTTTTTATTTCTTTCAACCATATTAAAATATAAAAGACATTCTTTGCTCATGGGCCATACAAAAATGGTTAGCGAGCCAGACTGGTCCACCAGTCACAAGGTGCTGACCCCCTGGCACAGACACACTTTGCCCAAGAAGTTGGTGTCTCCATTTACAGTCTGATTCTAGTAATGATACCTGACATGAGTGATTCCAGCCCACATGTGCACATGGATTGGCCCCTGACAGAGCAGGTTCAAATTTACCTCATCATTTGATCAACAAACCAAAAACAAACATGAAAAGTATGAGGGAAGATTATACTCCAGGAAAAGATGGGGAAACAGACTCAGAGAAGCTAAGAGACTTGCCCACAGTTAACCAGGGAGTAGAGAGTCACTGGAATTCCAACAACTATCTGGTTTAACAACCTATAGGAATAAGACTTCATAACTACCCATTTATTTTGGTGATACCCCCACTCTCCTACTCTCTCAGGTTGAAAATGTGAGCTACCTTCCTTGCACTCTTCTAGCTGCTTCAGTCCCTGGTTTCATTCTCTCATGTCAAGATCCTAGCAAAACCACTCTGCTTTGTCCTTCCTTCAACACTCCTTCTGTCTCCACAGGGATTCAGGCAAAGATGGTGGTGTACAATAAGGACATGATCAGTCACGGGAAGACCAATAGAAGAAAGGGCAGGAACCTTAGAAATGAGGCTAGGGGTTAGTGGCTTCCTGGAGAAGTGAAGACAACCACTGATTTGCTGAGCAACTTTGGAGAAATTAATGAGACTCTGGAACCCTCAGTTTCCTCATATATAAAATGACCATGGTAACATCTGTCTTGCAAGATTGTTGTAAAGATTGGAAATAAGATGTGCCACATGTCTAGGACAGTACTTGGTGTAGAGAAATAAGATTTCAAGAAAAATACTTAATATGTTAAAATGAAAAAATAGGGTATATATAACATGAGCTCAAGTTTGTGGATAAAAATGTTATGTATATAATTGGGGTAACATACATTTAAATGTTAACTAAATTAATAGGTTGTAAAATTATGGGTGATTTTCTTTTCTTCCCTGTATTTTTAGAATTTTCCGAAGTATTTATAATTTCTTACTGCCTTTAAAATAAAAGAACCCCAGAAAATTCTATAAACCCTTGCAAATGGATTAATGGTGGATTGCTGACAGTGAGGAACACAAGGACTTAGGACCCTTCCATTTGGATAATTCCTTAGCCCACGGCTATTGATTCATTCTAATCCCACTGATTCTGGTTTGTTTCCTTTCTTGAAATTTTATTTAACGCAAGTCTGAAAGCACAGAAATATAATGAGGCCTCCTTCTAGCAAGCAGAAGGTACAAAGAAAACGAGAGAACATGGATTGTTAAAAACAGGTTCTCCCTGAAGATATTTGGAAATGATATACCCAATAAAGGATTAATATCCTAAATGTACAAAGAACTTATACAACTCAACACCACAAAAACCCGAATAGTCCAATGAAAAGGAGGCAGAAGACCTGAATAGACATTTTCCCAAAAAGGACATACAAGTGGCAAACAGATACATAAAAAGATGCTCAACATCACTCATCATCAGAGAAATGCAATGAGATATCACCTCCTACTTGTCAGAATGACTAGAATCAAAAAAGATAAGAAATAACAAGTGTTGGCAAGGATGTGGAGAAAAAGGAACTCTTGTGCCCTGTTGGTGGGAATGTAAATTGGCATAACAACTATGGAAAACAGTATGGAGGCGCCTCGAAAAATTGAAAATAGAAATCCCATATGCTCCAGTAATTCCACTACTGGTTATTTACCCAAAGAAAACAAAAATACTAATTTGGAAAGATATATGCACCCCCTATGTTTATGGCAGCATTATCTACTATAGCAAGATATGGAAGCAGCCCAACCATCCACCACTGATGAATGGATCAGGAAGATGTGGTACACACATACATAACAGAATATTACTCAGCCATGAAAAAGGATGAGTCTTGCCATTTGCAACAACATGGATGGATCTAAAGGGTAGTATGCTAAGTTGAAATAAGTCAGATGATAAATATTATATCAACTCACCTATCTGTGGAATCTAGAAAACAAACAAATGAATGAACGAACAAACAGCAAAAGCAGACCTATAAACACACAGTACAAACTGGTTCTGATGGTTGCCAGAAAGGAAAGGGGTGAGAGGTTGGGCAAAATAGGTGAAAGAGAGTGGGATGATACAGGCTTCCAAGGTGTGGAATAAGTAAGTCCTTGGGGTAGAAGGTACAGCATAGGGAATACAGTCAATGGTACTAGAATAGTTTTTGTTGTATGGTGACAGATGACCTCTACACTTGTGGTGAGCATAGAATAAAGTATAGACTTGTTAAATCACCATGTTGTACACCTGAAACGAATGTAACATTGTGTGTCAACTAGACTTCAGTTTAAAAAAATAAATAAATAAGGCAGTTTTCTCCCTCCTGCTCACTAGTGCCCTCTTATGTATAGGATCCCAGGCTGAGCAATTTGCCCTCTCCTAGTATACCCCCTAGAAAAAGGGAAGAGGGAGAGAAAGAAACTGCAGATAAAATAACATTTCCATGTGTCCTATCAAATGTAAGTATGGTTGGTTTCTAACAGGCCATGGCTGTACAGTATCCCAACTGTTTATTTAGAACGGTATCTTTAATTTCCCTTTATTTCCAACAACAAACATTTAGTGGCTACATTTATGCCAGATGTACCCTTTATTTCCAACAACAAACTTTTAGTGGCTACATTTATGCCAGATAAATTTTCCTTCCCTAAAGAGGAAAGGGATGGGAACCAGAGGAGACTCGGGATTTGTCTGGGTTAACAGTTAAGATTTGTTGGACAACTCACTAAAGCTTACAAGGTAGGTATTGTCATCCCCCATTTTACAGATAAGGAAAATGAAGCTTAAATAAAATGTCAAAAGCCACACAGCTAAAAAGTGGCTGAGCCGGAATTTGAACCCAGGCCATTATGGCTAAAGTAGATGCC